GTAACGCTCACCACAAACCTATGCATCTGCAGAACTGCCCTAACATTTATCTGCCTATTTATTTATCAATATAAACACATATTGCACATAATACATAAATGTATTTCATAACCTCAAATTTTATTAGAAAATTAGCTGACTAGAAGCAAAGAGTTCGATGTATGTCAAGAGCCTGGCCCTACTGAGGCTCCATAATGGTAACTGTTGTTGTTATTAATAATAATAATATTGATTATTAAAATCCAAGAAAAAATAAAACACTATCAGAAAAAAATTTCATTTCTCAAAGTATATAATAAGGAGCACTGAAAGACAAACTAACACCTCAGCTCGTCCTACACCATCTGCTGTGATGTCCCAAAGCCCTCTGCTAACTTAACTAGACATTCATTAGGGTGATTAAACATGTTAACATGCCCAGAGGACTGCTGTGGAGAATTTTCCAGAGAATACAAGTGAAAGCCACTTGTCTAATCACAGCCGGCTTAAACTAAACTTTGGAATATTAATGCACCAAGTCTCCCTTGCTGTGGAAATGAATGTAACATCAATACAAATTAACAACAGCCATAAAATACAAACGAAACGGATTTAAATCCCTTGACTGTAAATAAGGAACTTTAAAGATGCTTTAGACAAGACATATATTTTCATCAAAATTCTGGGCTGGTAGTTCTAGCCCAATACTGATATTTAAAAATTACCTCAAATACAACACTTATAATACACAAAATCACGACAGAATAGACAAGTCTAATCATGCTATGAATTAGTGGACTTTTATAACAAGACTCAACAACACAGAACAGAAGAATCATTTGTTTCAAGTGAGAAGTTTACCCGGCGGGGTTATCCTATGGTCTAGGACATAGACCCAGATTTTAAAGAAATCAATCAACCATAATATAAGCAAAATAATATTAAATCACTGTGCCAATTTTTTCTACTACACTAGAAAATGCAGACTGTTCAGTATGGTTCTGTTAAAAGAAGTTAATTTAAACGCTTTTAAAATAACAAAAACATAGATATAATCTAGGAACTAAATTTAGGTTCGTATATATAACCCAGTGTTGTGATTACAACTCTACAAAGACTGATTTTATAATACACTCCAAAGTGTCTGTATCCAATAAATCTTACTCTAATTTTCCTGAGAGCAGTTGTTACGGAGACCTAGCCCAGTGATGTCATTCTAGCTGAACACTTTAAAACCTGTGGCATATTTCTGTCAAATATGCTTAACTGTAGCAAATTTTAAATTTGAGAATGGATGTGATGTATGGGAAGAAATCACCGTCACTGACAACTACACCTGGCAAGTAGACTAAGCGAAATAAACTTCTTTTGGTTAAAAAAAAAGAGGGGATTGACTACAAGGTTTTTACTAAGGTTAAGTTTTCCTAAAAACTATAAAACCAAATTTGAAATGGGAATTCCAGGCATGTGGGGCAGCAACATTATCTACATAATAAGAGTATGTTCATCTGCCATGTTCTCTACCGGGTGTTTCCTTCTCCAATTTTTAAATGATAACTGAATAATGGACCATACTGGCACCTCGTATATATTACCTCATTGAATCCATGTAACATTACTAGACAATTATCACCATTTCAAAGTGAAGACACTGAGCCTGAGTGCTTTCAGTAACTTGCCCAGTTCACACAGGTAATAAGGAGAGACCAGCAATTACTTCATAATCGCAATACACACACACGCACATCCCCCATTACCTACACATTACATCTGACTTTTTGAGGTTTTTGACCTCTACTTTCTGACTCTCCCAATTAATCTCTTCCTATGACAGCAGCTACTTACGTATATTTTTGCATCTGCCCTACTGTGTTGCAGTTGTCACTTATCAACATTCCCTACTCAACGATGAGCTTCCAGAGAGAACGGCTCACACCCTGCTCATCTCTGTAATCCCAGAACACAGTCCTGTATTTAGCACATCTGCATGCATTTCTTGTTAGTACTTAACAGCGGTTCTGATGTTGATTCTGCTAGCTGCTCACGGGTGGTGAACATTACAGAACCAGCTTCAAGATACCTGCCAACCACCACCTCAAGGAGGGCAGACGCAGGCAGAAAGGAGATCCAACATGATCAGCTTGAATCTGTAGGGCTGTTCTTACCATAGCATTTAGACACTACATTATGCGGTATATAGGGTTTTTCTTTTTCACGTTTAATAAAGCTGCATCTGCACTCACATTAGTCCACCTCCAGTAGTTCACTGCACAAAACGAAATTACAGGACAGCACGACACGCATAGTGCATGCAAGAATGAAGGAAAAATCTACAACAAGGTAAACCATCCACAGCAGAACGTTAAGATTTTGCCAAAAAGCTACCTTTTCATTACAACATGACTCCAGAGTCCAGAGGGGCAAGACCACACAATTTATACGCTTTCCCACACAAGAAACTAACAGGGTTGGTTATTCATGACATTTGGAGACTGGTACGGTATAATTACAAAATGACACAGGTTAATACTTAAGGAGACATCAAGTCTCTCAAAATAAAATGAATATTTACAAGATTAAGTTTCTGTTTTGTTATTAAAGTCCTGGAACTTCAAGGAACATATAAAAATATAGATGACTTAGTACTCAGATTAGTTAACAGAATTACTGATACTTTTTATTCTTTTAGGGGACCTTTTACCTACTAAATCTTAGAGTCTGCGGTTTGTGGTTTCCGTTTTCCGTCCATAGAAATTGATTGCGAGCCCTTTTCTGGTATTTATCTTTCTCTGCTCATCCTCCACCCGCCCCTACCCCCAAACCTGCTTTGGATGTCTGTCTTCTTTAATTTTTCAAGACAAGGCAGTGAAGTGAAATGGCATGAACTCTTGAATAAAGAGTTAAAAATGTTAAAATCATATGACTCTCCTCTCTTTAAAGTAGTATTAGTCTTCTAGAATACCAATCTAATTCTTAGAAGCAGGAAACACAGGAAGCTCAATGTTCCAAGAAAAGTTAATAATAATTGATTCATCCTGGCTACCCAGGAAATACACAGCAAGGACCTGTGTACTACGCAAGTACAGACAACAAATGCATCTAGTAATACCTGCCACCCAGGGACAAGGAAAATAGAAAAAGAGCTCACGGAGCAAATGCACAAAAGGTACAGGAAGAAAACAGCATAAATGTAGGGCTGATCAGGAATCAGAGCTCGATGAAACCGTGACAGATCAGGGAGCTCTACAGACAGAAGCGGACGGAGGTGGTGGAGGAGAGGTCGTCACTGACGGGAGGTGACAGAAGTGAGCAGAGGTGAGGAGGAACCAGGCAGGGGTGAGAGGACAGGAACTAAATTACAAGAGGGGACAAGAAAGAACGGTGGGGCCGGCGCGGAAGGAGGCATGCCCAAGGAACAGACAGCATTTTTAATGGGAGACTGAGTCATAGAAAAAGGAAGGAAGGAGGCAAAATGCAAAGATACCAAACAAGAAATTCTGGACAAATGAGGAAAAATGTAAAAGTGAGACCAGGTGATAAATAGGTAGGGTAGAAAGGCAAAAAAAAGGATAAAGTAAAAGAAACCTCTGGGAAAGGAAATATTAAAAAAAGACAAATGGTTTCTGGAATTTCACTATATTAAATTAAATTTTTAAACCTGTTCTTTTGTTTCTGTTTCTCGCTGCTGGGTAAAACTTGATTGTGAACAATGGTTTCCACAATCTCCAGAGGAGAAAAGTACTGATGAGATCAACTGACTTAGTAGCAAAACTAAGAAGAGCTGAAAACAATAAAATTTACTTATGTCAGTTAACCATCTTAGCTCTAACCCACAAACTAATTTTCTTTCTTTCTTTTTTTTCTGTCAACTTGTTTCATCCATACCTATTTCCTCCCTCCTGTATTACTATTATTTTTTAACATCTTTATTGGAGTATAATTGCTTTACAATGGTGTGTTAGTTTCTGCTTTATAACAAAGTGAATCAGTTATACATATACATATATCCCCATATCCCCTCCCTCTTGTGTCTCCCTCCCACCCTCCCTATCCCACCCCTCTAGGTGCTCACAAAGCACCAAGCTGATCTCTCTGTGCTATGCGGCTGCTTCCCACTAGCTATCTATTTTACATTTGGTAGTGGATATATGTCCATACCACTCTCTCACTTCATCCCAGCTTACCCTTCCCCCTCCCCGTGTCCTCAAGTCCATTCTCTACATCTGTGTCTTTATTCCTGTCCTGTGCCTAGGTTCTTCATAACCTTTTTTTTTTTAGATTCCATATATATGTGTTAGCATACGGTATTTGTTTTTCTCTTTCTGACTTACTTTACTCTGTATGACAGACTCTAGGTCCATCCACCTCACTATAAATAACTCAATTTTGTTTCTTTTATGGCTGAGGAATATTCCATTGTGTATATGTGCCACATCTTCTTTATCCATTCATCTGTCGATGGACACTTAGGTTGCTTCCATGTCCTGGGTATTGTAAATAGAGCTGCAATGAACATTGTGGTACATGACTCTTTTTGAATTATGGTTTTCTCAGGGTATATGCCCAGTAGTGGGATTGCTGGGTCATATGGTAGTTCTATTTTTAGTTTTGTAAGGAACCTCCATACTGTTCTCCATAGTGGTTGTATCAATTTACATTTCCACCAACAGTACAAGAGGGTTCCCTTTTCTCCACACCCTCTCCAGCATTTATTGTTCCACAAACTAATTTTCACACTGACACATACACATCAATGACCTTAGTGACCAACTGCTTCATTTACTAATCACAAAAGCTTTCTCTCTCTCTCACTTTTTCTCCCTCTGTGCTTATCAGTATTTGGAGAAATCCCTGCTTCTTACTACTGCCCTAAAAAAGAAAGGGCAGAGTAAGAAGGTGACATTTACATCAATACTGCTAAAAAAAAAAAAAAAAAAAAAAAAGTCTGATGGAAGCTTAACACAAGGTTAAAACAATAACAGTGAAAAGATGCAAATTTCCTATAAATTTCTACGACCCACCTTATTCTGGACTCCTACATAACTGAAAACAGAACACAGAGATCATCCTTCATTTCCATCTAGAAACAATAGAAGAAAACAAAACACTTAACAAGAACATAAAAACAATAAGGAAGAGCTATTCTGAAAAAGAAGGGAAATTATTCTACTCTTAATCCTAGGAAATAACCAAGGGTAGAAGAGCTACCGTACCAAAGGTCTATTTATGAAGCTGTAATTCGTATAACTCTTATTTTTAAGGTGAAAAAATATAGTCATCAGATTTTCAGTCCAAAAAACTGTGCAAGGAAAAAAGCAGGCACACACAGAGGCTGAGAGGAAGATAAAGGAAGATGAACCTAAAGCCCCAAAGCTTTGAACAATCACTGAGAAGAAGCAGTTTCTCAATATCCCGCGCCTTGAGGAATTCTTCAGTGAAAGTCAATTTCTGAGGGCCAACATCCTATTATAAGCTCCCATTCCTCCTATTGTATCTACTGTTTCTCTATCCACACAGATTGAAACTCTGATCGTAAGCAGATTACCAGCTTTAGCAGCAGGGGAAAAATAACTCAAATATTATACACAAAAGCAATGGGGTAACAAAGACAATGTAAGAAACATGTAAAGAAATATGCTACAGTCTTGTTGCTCATATTTGCAGAACTATCTTCTTTCAGCTGCTCAAAAATCCTAAATGGCATTGGGCCAATTCTTGAAATTTGCCTTTTCTTCAGTTTTTTTTTTTTTTTTTAAACCATTCTTCCATGAATATCGTAACGGGTCACTTGGCCATACAGTCCATTCACAGGCATCTGACATGATTATTTACTTCTGGAAACAGCTGCTGAATTCCAAGGCACTGGGACACTTCTTGAAGGAACAAACCTGGTTCTCTGGTCTCTACTGAGGACACGGTGAAACTAGGATTCTCTGAACTCAGCGATGACACGGAAGCCAAGCTGTGCTGTTTCCAAGGTAAGATGCCTTGAAAAAAAAAAAAGCTAAAAATCAATCAGATTTTAAAAACAAAAAAACTCTAATAAAGTAGTGAAAATTCTCACACAGTGTTATATTTTCGCTAAGACTGAAAAATAAGTAACTCAGATAAAAAATTTCAATCCTTCACTTCAACTCTAAATATATTTTCAAAAAAATTTTATAGGGCATCACAGGTTATACAATTAAAAATACTGCAAATAATTGACTGTTCCTGAAATTAACAAAAAATAGCCATTAAAATTGTAAAGAAATTCTGGTGACTGACGTTTTGATGTTTACCATGGCCAGGATAGAAGATGGGCTTTGAGAAAACACTATTTCTCTGCGTTCATATCTTATTTGGAAATGGTATGAACAAGCATGATTTATACTGAGCTATAAAGTGAGCTACAGAACTGATGACCTGGAAAATTTCTTCTAGCCATAAAATTCTGAAATTGCATACTACCTGGTGATAAAATCTTGACACCACTGAACCAGCTGTAGGCAAGCCATTTGACTTTTCCCTGATTTTCTCATCTATAAAATACAGGGCTGGGGCTTCCCTGGTGGCGCAGTGGTTGAGAGTCCGCCTGCGGATGCAGGGGACGCGGGTTCATGCCCCGGTCCGGGAAGATCCCACATGCCGCGGAGCGCCTGGGCCCGTGAGCCATGGCCGCTGAGCCTGCGCGTCCGGAGCCTGTGCTCCGCAATGGGAGAGGCCACAACAGTGAGAGGCCCGCGTACCGCAAAAAAAAAAAAACAAAACTCTAAAATACAGGGCTGGTTCTTCTTACATCAGGAGATGGGTACTAGGGTCACCGGAGGATGGCTTAAAATACAGATGCCTGCCCAGCTCCAGCTCTAAAGAGCTCTAACCTCTGGGATTAGGCTAAGGCATCTGCTCCTGTTACTGTATAACGAACCCTGGGTCATTCTGTCTACACTCATACTTGAAGAACCACCACACTAGGTCACGTTCGGGATGCAGCTCTACAGCCCTAAGAGTCATAAAACAGGGCAGTAGGGATGCCATTACTCCAGCTTGACAGGTTTAAGACAAATGAAATCACTGTGTCATTTTCTCCTTCCCTAAAAATCCCCCGTTCAGAGAAGATGCCAAAACTAAGATTAAGGCTAACGTGCCAAATGGATAAACACTTCAATGGAGATTATTTTTAGCCCAAATTGTCCCAACTATATCCTCAGATATTTAAATAGAACACAACTGCAGGACGACATTCATAGTCATAAGCTGCTGCTCTGACAGGCCATCCCAAAACATGAGCTGATGTGAAAATGATAGCAGCAACATGCCATTTCTTACTCAAGTTATAAAGCTGCCCCCAAGACAAAGGTCACACCCCCCTCCCCAGCAGAAGCGACATGTCACGCAGAACATCGTACCTGCAGAGCTGCTAACCGGGGCTGTGGCCCAGGCTTCACTCCAGGGCACCTCCTCCTGTGATTCCTGGACAGCGGGTATGGTGACGTGTGTGCTCCCCTATCGGCTGAGTCATGTGGATTCAATGGGCTCTGTTGGTGCCCAACACCCCCAATATAATATTGTCAGCTCCCGACTAAAGGGATACAAAACTGGGCTTTCAGAGTAAACCACTTTGCTTCATCTTGCTGGATTTTGTTTGCAGGCCCTCATCCAAGTCCACATGGCTTCAAAGTGACCTCACTCCAGGTTTGTCACCAAACCAACAGTGCCGTTAAGTTTTTTTCCACCAAATGAATATTACTTGGTTGGAAGAGGCCTCCGGGCCCCAAGAGTGTGTTCTACTGTCCAAGACAAGCTGAAAAAGTGGGTCAAGATTTCACAAAAGGACAAGGCAAACGGACAGATGGGCACCGGAAGCCTTTAGTAATGCTCCCATCCTGGTAAATTACATTCACTAGGGGTTCTTTCACATGAGTTATTTGACACAGAATTAGTACCTTAAACAGTCACTGCCCTTTGTCCTGGTGAATCACTGTCCTAGAATTCAACAGCTACCAAGAGTCCTAGTCTCCCTCAGCTTTGAGGTTCAAAATTTGGTTTTTCTCCTCTTGCCTTCAGTCATTTCAAAATACAGTCCCCTCAACCATTTCGTTATCAACCTCTTCTGCCTGGAAAATCCAGCATTGTTTCTGCAGCTCAAAGTCATTGCCACCATGTATGCTACTTTGAAATTTTTAAAGAGCTTCCTTTACAGCTGAGAAACTAGGGTCAACTTCTAGCTCTCTTTTCTGTCTTTGATAAAGTAAAACTCCCCAGAGAACCCACACTGATTCAAGAGCCAGGCTGCCTGGGTTCATATGCCACCTCCCTGCTTACTACTCACTTTGTGGTCTCGGGCAGGTGACTGAATTACCTCCCTGTGCCTCAGCTTCCTCATGTGAAAAGTGGGATTATAACTGTACCTACGTCAAAGGACTGTTGTGAGAGTCGAATATGTTTACATGTAAAAGCACGTTGTAAGCACTACATCAACGTTAGCTATCATTATGTGCTTTATGTAACTCCAAATTCTCTTATTGTTCCACGTGTGTACACGATGTTTGCCCAACTGAAATACTACCTACTCGAGGACTGGGACCACATTTTGAATATTTCTGATGTTCCCCCCATGGCACCTAATATTCACTCAATAGGTAAAAATAAACCTACTCGGTACAAATTATTATACTGGATGAACAAGGAAGTTCTCAAACACAGACCTGTGTAAACATGTATTCCCTGCCCTCGAGTAGCCTGTATTTTGGGTGGGGAAACAAAACACAGGAAATGGTCATGCAACAATATAAAGCCATAAATGATTAAATGCCAAAGTATGTGGTTTAAACAGCTACCATTCAAAGGGCTCACTGTGAGCTGGGACTCTGGAGAGGGCAAGCCTGCAGTGGCCCTGCCCCTAGAGGTGACTTGGATTTCCACGACAGGTGGGAACAGAGAGAGGATTCCAGCATGTCTGCTCATTCCACAGATATTTACTGCACACCTTCCGTAGGCCGGCCTCTGTCCTTGGCTCTTGGAATACGGCCATGAGGGACCCAGAAACGGCCCCTGCACCCTGGGACCTAAAAGGGCACTCACTCCACGTGAGAGCCAAGTTCTGAAGTAAGGAGGAAGGGCCTGTCCTCCAACCCGATGAAACACAACATCCCTTAAATGTCTCGTGAACAGGAGCCAATGCTGGCATTACAGTCACTCCGGCTTCCAACAATGGCAAACATACAGAAATTAATAACTTTTCATGTACTGTATTCTAAATATCTTCCATTGTTTATGAAGCACATTAAAGAGATATTCTCCATATTTCTGGATACAAATAACATATAAGAGATTTACAGACACACACAGTATTACTGGAACAGTTTTCGTAATAGAGGCTGCGGAGGCCCAGCTGCTCAATCTTGCCCAAATGAAAGCCTATTCATTAAAGCCCTGTGCTTTGTCTCCTCCCGCCCTTTTCCCTTCTTCTTCTACTAGTGGCTGCCCACAGATATCAAATATCTACTAGAAAAGTGCCTGAAGATGCATGTGTTGGCAGGAATCAGTTAGTCACGATGGGTGGAAGTGTTAACACATGCATCTTTTTCTTCCTACATCCGTCCACTCATCTCCTCCCAGAAGAGAACGCCTTCAGGTAAAGGAACACTCTTATAAATACCGACTGGCAAAGCATTCTCACTCCTTTCTTCTGCGATGATGGACCACTATCTGAAGATGCGTTAAGTCCAATACGCTCTAATCACAAATATGACACATTTCCAAGCGCTTCGCTCATCCTCTGCAGGCCTCTCACCCAATCCTACTCTCCCAAGATGCAAACTGCTGGATCCCACCATCATTCTCGTCATTGTTACGCCTACATAAATTATTACATTGTACCTCTGGAAACACAGAATAAACTTCTTGATTAAGGAAGTCAAAACTACTCAATTAAATCCAGTCAAAAACTTAACTTCTTCATGCACAAAGTACTGGACTCAAATATGTTTAAGACATGTAAAGGCAAACTGAAAAGTAAGGTAGAACCCCTACAACGTAGATTACTTAACATTCTCAACATCTACATACCCATGAAAGTTAGACTCATCAACAAAGTAACAGCCAACCCAGTTTTTTATTTCCTTGGTTTGGTACTGGAAAATCACATTCCTGTTTGACTGTCATTCGTTAACCCTTAATTAGGAATGTTGCTTAGAAACTATATATGGAAAAAGGGCACCTTTCAGAAGGGACCATCAAGGCTTTCCCAACATTTACTTTTTTCCAACATCCAAGCATAGCCTGTTCATTGGGTGACAATGACATGTAATGGGAACTCTGATAAAGAGACACAGGGCTTTGGAAACTACTGAATACCCCAATAAAGGGACTAATTGCAGTTCTGTGCAAATGCAAAGCCTTCTTCCAACTTGAAAAACACATTAAATTACTCTATGAGTCATTTTATATTGCCCACACCCTTATTTTACAAAAAACAGAAACAGAAGCAATTAATGTACATATTCCGCATTTGGACACGTTCAAATCAAACTCGTGTACTCAAGTATTTCTAAGCAACCTATGTTTATGCAAAAAGTTATCCGGAAGATTAAATGAGATAAAGCATGTAGATCATTTGGCAAAGGCCTGGCAAGCAATCAGTACTCAACATTGCACATTATTATCGTTCCTAATTTTCCAACTCTGTAATCATACTAAACAGTTACAAATTTATGCACGTGATTATGTATATATAATATATATAAACGAATATGTGTTACTACTAGAAATAAAGCTTTTATGTTATGTACCAAGCAATGCTCTTCATCCAGACAGAGGTGAGTTTAATTTTAACAGAATGATCCACAAAGCAGCAGAGAAAGCTGGCTAAGGGGTAGGATGTTAAACGTTACCTCTAATCTCTGCTTATCAATTAAGGATACAGCCTCTACATGGCCTAGTATGAATTATAATCAGCAGTCAGCTGATCCTAGAGAACTCGCTCAAAATGAATAGTTAAGACCTCAAGCACGTGGACAAGTGGCCATTTATTTGCAAGGCTGTGCCAACCACTGAAATCTGATTACTTCAATACTCATGCTGAAATCCTACATAAATTCATTACTTGTCTCATGCTAGAATCTTGCAAGTCCTTACAAAAATTTTAAATATCCAAAAGTCACTTAAACTGACAAGACTACAGCATCCTGGGCACATCCAGTTTTTAGAACACTTCAATAGCCTCGGCCACGCATCATTTATTATGACAGGGAAAATGCAAAGCCAGTGACAGCACGTGCTTTCCTAAGCAAATATTAAAAATAACCCTATGCCCTCATTACGAAAAAGGAAAATCTTCGCGTTCCCAGCTTAATCTCGACCCGGGGCCAATGCACACTCCCACCTCCCACGCCGAGACACCGCCCGGGCGCGCCGAGGTGGGGCTGGAGGCTGCTCGCGCTCTCGGGAGGACCCGTCCCCTCTCCCCGCGCGCTCGGACGCAGCGCGGCCAGACCCACGTGGACTCCAGGCGACGGCGGCCGGACCCACCGCCGGGGTCGCCGCCCAGGGTCGCGGGGAGGGGCCGGGGGCGGGGCCAGCGCCGCGCCGCTAGGCCGGGGAAGGGAGCCGGGCTGCACTCACGCGCCCGGGGGGCGGCACCGGGGCCGTCGCGGCGTCCCTCCGGTTCGCACACTGAGAGGGGGGCGGGGGGGGCGGGGGGGGGGGGGGGGGGGAAAGACCTGGCTCCTCGTTCCATCCGGA